GGCTTCGAATGCGAAGACCGTGTTCATGTAGTCGCGGAATGTCCGTTGTACAAGAAGGAGAGGGAAGTGTACGTGACTGAGCTGGGAAAAATAGATGGAACGTACAGGGAGATGTTTGAGGCATGGAATAGAGAGGACAGGACGGTAGCTGTAGTGGGGCATAGGAGGTGGGTTGAAAAGGCGGGAAGGGATATCGTTAGGATAGACAGACTAGGGAAGACATTTTTGAGCCACCATTGGCAAAGTAGACAGGAACGATTGGCCATCGGTGATTGGTCCTGTGGGAACAATGCTCCGTCCTCTCGAGGACGCGTGGTCAATGGTCTAACCGCTAAGACATGCAAAACATAAGAGTACGCCCCCCCCCCGCGGGTGGTAAAAATAAAAAAATGCAATAGTTGTGCCCCCTTTGGTTGGCGAAAAATTCAAAAAGTGGAAAAAAAAAAAACTGTGAACGGACCATTAGTTGAGAAATATTTTGTCAAGAAAAAAAGGTAATTTCGGGAAATAAGAAAAGAAGCCTAAGAAACGCAGCTAGTTCAAGCTCGGCCACAACATAAGAAACGTCTCAATAAGAAACATGATCGTGCGATACCCCCAAGACAATAGAAACAACGGGTAGAAGCTGGGGGAGCGTGTCCAAAGAAACGTCCCACTGCCGCTGCTGCTGCTGCTGTTACTGCGATGCTCCGACCCCCCACTTAGCTCATGTATTGTAATTTTTTGGTAGGGGCAGAAAGTGGTCATGTTTGCGGCGCCCCCCGCGCCCCAGCGCCGCACTGCTGCTGTGCTTCTATGCTGCCACAACCGCCAATGTTGACCACACCGAGCTGTAGGCGTAGTGCTGCATGAAGACTTCATGTGTTGTTGCTTTCTTCGCCATCAGAAAAAAGAAAATACGAGAAGCAGCAGGATGCGACAGCCCAAAGGAATAAGAAATTCATGTTAAGAAATTGGCCAACTTCGGCTGGTCCTTCAGCCCAGAGTAAGAAATTGAGGCTCGACACGATTTTGACGTTTCTTATCTCCGGGCCCTCTCTGTAGTGTAAACAAACCCAGCCACCAATATAGCAAACGAGCATACATATACCTAATAATTACGACGCTCGACGCTGCTGCTCGACACAACAACAAGCGACACAGCAAGATACTGCTTCATGTAGTAGTCGTACGGAGAGCTGTAGATCGCATAGTCGCGGGCGCGTTCATGCACATGCATGCTCGACGTAGACGGCCCACGGTCAGAGAGTAGTAATGTGCTTTCATGTAATATACGTATTTACTACAATAAGTACCATGTGGCAACAGGAACCTCCATTCATCGCAAACTCCAACATTATTGTATGTGGCACCGTTCACACCTTACTTCGTCCAAAGTATACAAGCACTGACTGGTTGCTTCTGGTGGACGCTGTGAGCGCGAAAGAACGTGGAGCCCCAACCACAAGCAATCTTAGGAGAGCAACCCATAGACTACTCACCAAACGCGAACACAACAACATCATAATCACCATGAACAATGCACACGAAAGCACGTCAAAACAAACGCATAAGTAAGGTGAAATATGGTACTATTGCATGGGTATATGTAGGCTGAACGACTTCGCTCAGCCGGCCACAGGTGGTGTACTGCTACGCGATCTCTCCACAGGGCGAGGGGGAAGCGTGCGGTCTCGGTGTGCTTGGTGAAGAGTCCTCCACCAAGCGACGCTCTCATTGCCACTCCGTGCATACACCAAGCGTTTCCCCCCAGCGTTGGCCCTGCGGCTGGCGCCTCGCTGGTTCACGGACCATTCCGCAACCTCGTCTGGCAGCTTCGCGCCGGCAAAATGAAGGCACGGTACGAAGAGAGTGCATTTCGGGCAGCGTTCCCTGCCTTTTTGCTGCCCCCGTGAGGGTGACACGCTGTTGTTTTTGTGTTTGCCGGGCTCAGCCTGGTCAAAGCTGCCCTGTTCGCTCTGGAGTTTCCGATCCGCGATTCTGGCGGTCTCCCTAGGCTTCGTGACTCGAATCATCCAATCGTACAAGTCTGCCTCGGGAACGCCATCCCCGCCTACCCCTCCTTGCTTGTCCATCAGGTGCTGCACCAGCTTCCGCTCCTTTTCCTCTTCCTCTCGGCGAAACCTGTCGAGCTCCCAATCGACGGCCGCCTCGTGACCATCGGCCGCCGCGATGGCCAACAGCTGCGCCAGGTCCGCGAAGCCTCTCTCGAATGCGTACGCTCCGGCGACCTTGCCGTGAATGTCCGTCAGGGCTGCATCGGCCTTGTGCCGCAGGAGAATGATCACCATCTTGAGGTCGCCCGCCGCGGCCGCTGCCATCAACGCAGTGCGGCCATTTCGATTGGAATAGTTGGGGTCGGCCCCTTCTTGAATGAGCGAACGCACCGAACTCGACTGCCCTCGATACGCAGCGGAGATTAGCGCCGTGTGTCCGGAGTCGCTCTCCGTGTCTGGAGCGGCGCGACCTTCGTGCAAGATCGAAACGGTTAGGAGGATCTTTGATCGAATCTGTCCCAGCTGGAACTGCGTCACGTCTAGGAATCCCGAAAGGCCTCCGTCTCTTGCTGACTCGGATAGCACCTCCGGCAGCGGCTCCGGCAGGGTTTGGTTGTGCCCTTCTTCCGTTGCCGTGGCAGAAACCGCGGACGTCGGTCTATGTTCGCTTTGTTTTCTCGAAGACGTTGGTCGCCTGCCGCTACTCGCAGACGATAACGGCCGGGTATCGCCGCTTATCGCAGATGACACCTGCCTGCTGCTGCTGCCGGTCATCGTAGGCCCCGGCCTACTACCACCGCTGTTGGAAGCCACGGAGGCTGTCCTAGAGTTCCTTTTCGAGTCGTCTTCTACCGTTTCGCCGGACGAAATTGCGTCCAGCATTCGCTGCTCCGCGACCCGAAGAGCATTCTCAGCGTTCATGTCCGCGAACGTGTACACCCCGCGGTCGCCAAACGCTTGAGTCTCCTGCAGCCAGAGGCCGAAAACGCCCCACCCTGCTTTGGCGGCATGCTCTCCGGCCACGTGCCCTTGGTGGCACTTCACCGCGGGCTTGGCACCCAGCCGCATCAGGCACCGCGCCATGGCCTCGTTTCGGTGGATCGCCGCGATCGCCAACGGCGTTAGGCCGCGGTTCACGCTGCTTCGGTGGTTCAGCGCCCTGGTCGCTTTCATGTCGCCGACAACCTTGTCCGCTCGGAGAGTCTCTACGAGGAACTGCGCGATGTCCCTCCTGCCGTGGCGGGAGGCGATGCTCATCGCCGTCCAGCCCGAGCATCCTTCGACCTCGACGTCTGCTCCTTCCTCAAGGAGGGCGTCCACCATCGCATAGTCGTTGCGTTTCACCGCCCACATGAGAGCCGTCATGCCCTTCGAGCTGCCGTGGTTTATGTCCGCTCCTGCAGCCAACAGTCGTTGGATAATCGGAATGGATCGCTTCAAGACGGCGGCTATCATCGGGAATAGCCCGCTGCGCAGCTCGGTGCTGGGGTCGGCTCCCGATTCAAGCAAGACGCAAACACGGTCCATGTCCTTGGCATCCAGCGCGTGCCTCAGATGCTCGGATCGGTGGTGGTGAGAAAAGTTCTTGAGCAAGGCTGCATCGTGGGGAGCGATGTCTATTCGCCACTGCTGCCGCCGTTGGGACTCGTAGATGAGCATCTGCTTTCGGTGGAAGTCGGCCACCTTCATCTGAAGGAGACGGCAGCGATGGTCGATGCTGTGCACCGGGCCGGTCGCCGGCACCACGCCCAGGCGAACACACTCGCGTCGCACCTGTTTCGCCAGAAGGTCCGAGAGAGGCGAGGACGAGCGGCATGAGCAATCGTTAGGCGTGGGTGGTACACTGACAAGGCTAACTTTAGATGGCATCCGGACAACATGATCACGCAGGAATCGGCCGCATCACAAATTTGGTGAAAAGCGCACCCGGAAGCCCGTCTGGGCCGTATGGCAAACAACAGGAAGTCTTCATTATCGAAAATTCTTTGGTCGTACGAGATCTTGGTCACTGACTTACACGTCGTGACCCAGAAAACAGAGCCAGCAACTTTTCACATCGTAAAACCAGCAATCGAAGCCTGCAGCGTCTCACCTGAATCAGAGCATCGTAGAGGGAGAGGTCCGTGGGAGGCGTGCGAATGACAACAGGATGAGTGTGGTTGCTCCCTTCCGCCAGACGCCGCGTGTCGCAGTGGTGAGAGTCCCTGGAACAGGGCACTTCGTTGGAGAATTCGTGACCCGTCAGGCTGGTGTAGTATTGCTGTGATGACGTCGGCGGGGGGGGGGAGGCGGCACAGTGGAATAAGACCATGCGAACGCAAGCAAATCAGAAAAAAACATCTTGGGGTTGCTACAGATGGTCTTCCGCGTCGACCCTGTCGTAGATATGCGGTGTCGGTCCTGGAGAATTGTACCTGTCGTTGTGCAAGTTGCTTCTCCGCGATTCCATGAGCTGATCCTGAGCAAAATCCATGTTACTTGCAGTTCTGGGCCCGTGCCCCATACGTGTTTATATAAGTCGAGTACCACGTCAAGCGCAGGTAAGCTAAACCTCGCTGTCTGCAACACGTCAGCTCGGCACCCGCCCAACCCAGGCTGCTGCTACTGCTCCGGTTGAGCAAACTCAATGCAAGGTTGCTGAGCCCCGCGAGTGAAATCGCGGTCTTGTGCCACAGCGAGATAACTCACCCCCTCACCCTCGCCCTCCCACCCGTTATTCTGTGCATGCATATCGTACCTGAAGCCCCGAGACTCGATCTCGCTGATGAATCTGAGCGATTTTGGAGAAGTTCAGCGGATTGTTCTGCATGTCCAGCAACGCTAGAAACTGTTTCGTGAGCACCTGCCGGAGGAGCATCGATCATCGACAGGACGATTCCGATTCCTTAAGGTTGCCAGAGAAACGTGTGAAGTATCAGGGGTAGTGTGCGACTACCGCCCGGCAACGACGTCCCTTTCTTTCAAAAAGGATATTACTTGCTACAATACTGCTCCCGCCCGCGTACCGTACCTTCTTGACCATGTTGTGAATCTTCGCTGGCGTATGTTGCCGAAAGCCGCCACATTCGGGCCGAGCGAAGAACGTGGAGAATTTTGAACCCTGTTCGGCGGAGATTGGGGTGTGCAGCCCTAGCGCGCACCGCTGTTGAGCGACCACTTCATCCAGCCACGTCTTCAGAGTGGCGAACTCCAAAAGACTCTCGTTGGTGTCAAGTTCCTGTTCCAGGTTGTGACCGTACTTGTCCATGAGCGGCCTGGGACAGCCTTTCTTTGTGTTGCTATTTGTTTAAGGGGAAGAGGGTAAAAGAAAATGCGGCGGGAATTTTTTCAGAACCAGTGGTGTCATTCACCCTCTGTTGGTTCCGATTGCTTTGGGGGTGACCAAATGATAGTTCGCCATCAAGTAAAGCGAGCTCGACCGCAGCACCGGCGATTGATTGTGCCCAGCCCGGTAGCTTCACCTATAGGGGCATATCCGTTCGCCTTTTGCGGTAGTGGGGAAGCCCCAGGGCGAGAACTGGTACGCCTTGATCTCGAGGAGGCGAGGATCGACGTCCCTGAGGAGCGCAAGAAACCTGCGTTTGGCCATGATCGCTGGGGTGCCTCGGTAGCTGTGCCACGTTCTTAACACGGTCTTCTCGAAAGGTGTTGACCATTCTGTGTCTGTACAGTCGCCAGACGTGGCTTGCTTGTGTATCGCGTTGATGCGGGCCTGTTGTAGCGCGGCCGATGGACAGAGAGACGAGCGTGCGCGTGTCTCTAACAGTGAAAAGAGAAGGTTCCCCGGTAGTCGGCAATAAATGTGATCCTCCAACCGGGAACAGCTACATATGCAGAACAGCTGATGCGCCAAAACAGCGCAGCGTCGAATGTAGAGCTGCGTACACAGTTCAGAATAGTTATACTGGTGTAACTGGGTGTTGCAAAGGCGTGGGTGGCGCAAGGTTCAGGACACCTAGATAACACATGTTGCGGAGACAGCCGCGCTGTGCAGCAATAACGAGCGTTACATAACCCCACACACCCTCACCAATTTTTTTCCAGTAGGTTTTTCTCCATGGTACGTCCGCCAGTTATTCGTGGCAAACACGAACATTGCATCTAGATGCTTAGGGTCCGTGGGCAAGGTTCCTGGCGCGCAGGCAGGAACAAGCGCTTGTGTTGCTCGATCTACTTGTCGCCAGGCCTCGACGTCGAGGTCCCCGTCGGCTGCCCGCATCACGATCTGTGACACAAGTGGGCAAGAAAGCCACACCCTCGGAGAGAAGCGAGCGGCCTGGCCGTGAAAATTCTTCAGCTCGTCGTATGCCTCACATGCACTCCCACGTCGCACGTTGTATGCGTGGTATGCGCGGATGCGCGGCGGCGCAAACAAAAGCCGGGGGTTCGCCGGGTGAAATTTTAGACTACATGGCCCCGGCGAACCGCCATCCATGTGCGCCCTTGTTGTAGAAGGCAAGAGAGCGAAGGGCGGACAGCGGGAGAGCCAACCTTTCCTCCGGTCCTTCCTTCTCTCGCTCTCTCTCCCTCCTCCACGGCAGTGCTTTAGGCACCACCATGCGCGCCTTTAACGTCGCCGCTCTCAGTGCAGGTGATCAAGCGGCACCTTCTGCGTCGTTTGCTACAAGCGGTAGTAGGCAGAATGTTTTGCGTTGAGTTCAACAGTTCAACCCGCAAACGTCAACACTTGATGTTCCCCTACATCTCACGCCGCTACAGCAACTGCAAGAACAGCACTGGGCTACTCCTCCTGTAGCGTAAGCGGTTTATCTTGTGTGCCTTTAGAGTTGCGGTTGCCCTAGGAGCAAATAAGTGAGAGCTGTGAGGGATGTTGGGTTCATCTCGGCTCTCCGAATCATGTTTGGCCATGTTGACGTGCTGTGCTTCCCTCTTCCCTCACCCGTTGCGGACGCCGCCGTCCTCTTATATCCCCCCGGCATTGCAGTCCTCATACCGTTGTCTTGATCGGGCCAGTTGGATCCTCCTTAGCACGCTTCTGTCGTTGCGGGATGTGCATTTCTGCTTGCCTTCTTCCCTCAGGCTTTGCGAACGGCTGGCGCACCTGCTGCGCCTTTGAGACGTTGATTATTCCCACACCCCGGCACCCCCACCCATGTCCCCCGCGGCGAAAATTTGCCAGTACTAGCACAGAAAAACCGCGCGCCAGTAGCTCGGTACAGCGACCTAGGCCTACCCACTGCACCACAACCTAGCTTGGGGTGTTGGGTTTGGGTTTGGGTTAGAGTTAGGGATAGGGTTTAGGGGTGGGTTCGGCCTAGTGAGGCCTAGCGCCTTGGTGCTGCCTGAGGGCTGGAAACCCGCTGTGGCTTTGGTTTCGTGTCTACCTCCAACCACAACCCAAAAATTGTTGAACTGGCGAGCGCTTTTTCTGTGCCAGTACTGGCAAATTTCCGCCGCCCGCCCATGTCCACCCCGCTTGCTCCACAACAACCCGACCCTTCAGGAGCAGCAGCCGCTGGCTTCATGTCATCAGTCGATGGCTTCATGTCGCCAGCAGCCGCCTTCCTCTCTGCGGCGGGCCGGGCAACAACAACTCCCGCGACAACAAGAAGAACACCGCGGGCGCCAACGGCGATGCTTTCGTACGCGGACAAGCTGCGGGAGGCGCAGGCGGCCAAGGCAGCGAAGGCGGCAGACGGCCAGGCTTTGCCCCACTCTCCCGAACCGGCAACAACACCAGCAGCAGCACCAGCAGCACCAGCAGCACCAGCAGCAACCCCTGCGCCTCCTAGCGGTGGTGCTATGCCGAAAGTCGCGGAATCTCCGTTCTCTGAGAGTCTTCAGGAGGAACTCCGAGTCGCCATCACGATCCTCGCGGCGAGGTTGCAACGAGAGAAGCCCATGAGCCGCCAGGAGTTCGAGAGGTTCGAGTCCGCCGTGGGCGTCATCGTCGAGGTATACAACAATGTAATGTCTGTGGTTGTGGTGTACAAGCAAGCAGACTCATCGTGTGCGTAAGGAGGACAGCGGTGTTGATCGGTTTTGGTATCTACCACCGTAGACATGACCGGTGCGAACATGGATAGGTGTACTACGTCCTATTACTACGTCCTATGTTGACTTCGAATCGCGCCTGCCGCCTAGGCAGCTCTACTGCCTATGTAGAACTGCTTGGATAGTTCAGTTGCGCCCGACTCTCTTTTCGGTTCAACATGGGATCCGTACACACAGGGTAACGACGACAGGTTTTCAAACATCCCCCCCGTCTCCCAGACCAACACGCCCGCTGCCTTTCATCTTCGTCTTTGGCCGCTTTCTGTAAAGGATGCCCTTCCGTTGCAGAAGCTGCCTTCGCCGGCATCCCCGGCAAGCCCTGTGGCGGCCGCAGCGGCGGCCCCTCCGCGACTAGTGGTGACGCAGTCCCCCGTACCCAACGACGACAGCGACGGTGACGATGATGATGACTTCGAAACGGAGGGGCCAGAGTGGGATGCCAAAAAAGTACAGTACGGTCTGCCGATGGGAGCGCGGAACACGTACGACATCGACGACATGGAGAAGATGAACCCGGAAGAGTACCAGGCAGCGCTCAGGCGAGTGTATGTGTGTCTGTCTCTGTGTGTGTATTTTTATTATTTGCATCAACGCGCTAACCAGCTGACCAACGAGAAGACGTCAGTCTTACTGCGGTTGAAAACACAAAACGCTTCTAAATACCCTTAAGTGGGACCCCGTGAGGGTGTGTGTGTGTGGCGTACATGCAGGTGTGACACGAGGAAAATCCCTCCGTTCTGTGCCCATGCATGGATGGGTTTGTATACATGTTGTGAAGTAAAGTCTGCGTCGATGCATGCACGGGTTTGACTGGATGTTGTGACGACGTCAAAAGGTGTTAAATTCCCAGCCAATACTTTCGTCTGTTGGAGGATGTCTTCTCACACTACATGTGCCGGCATCCCTCATGTATTGAAAACTATTCATGGTATCCTGGGACTGGTTTACCCTCCCAAGGCGTGCGCGTAACGAAGTTGTAGTCATCGTAGAGAAATGGCCGTGCGTCAAGGCTTCATTGCGTGTCCAACGTTGATTTATATCCCGGAGTATTTGTATTGCCGTGAATTCTTGGTGCTTCCCCCGCCCGCCCCCCTGCCCGCGCGCCATGATCACGTTGTTTTGGCGTCCGAACAGGGAAAAGGTGGTGAATAGAGCGCAGTCCGTACGAAAAACGGGATCATACGGGTGAGTGGCGCTTCTCGAACCGGCGTTTTTGCTTGCAGTAGACCTCGGCAGTCCAATTTTGAAGCGACTCCAAGTAGCACTCTTTAGCCGAACGGTGGAAGGCGCGGTTGCAAGAGTTTACGACTCTGGGGAAGAAGGCGTGGCTTGCCTCACGGCAGTCTGCCCTCCCCTCGTGTCTTGTTTTCTTTTGCGGTCCAACCCGCCTCTCGCACCGTAGTCGTGTACCCGGCTCTCTCTACCTGTGGGGCTATGATCGAGCCCACCCGCTATGTGCAGCATCGTGGGAAACTGCTGCAGCTACCAAGCAAGCTGCCAACAACGGTGTTGTGGCCACGCGCGGCCTAAGACTGGCTCTTTCCCCTCTTGTGATGGGTTCGTAGAACTCGCTCTTGGCTGGGTTGTGTGTGGCCGTCCTTTGCATGTTCGGACTCGACCGAATTTTACGTGGGTTTGGCGCCGTGTGCGCAACCGCTTGCTTGCTCCCAAAAGATGCGATCGTGCCACTTATGCAGCAGCCAACAAGCCCATCAACAAGAAGAGCGGCCACATGCGTACGTCACGTACTATTCGTTGATTAATGACTTGGTGCACGCTTCGTTCGGTTTTCTCCGCATCCTGTATCAAGCGCACACCTGACCAACTTCACTGACAACCTTCCCACGTGAGTCTGCAGTTATCAAGTGCTTATCCCCCCCTTCTCCAACGGTCTACTAACTACGGCATGCGTTTACATGGGTACACCCCCCGCTGTCTGTTTTTGCACCTGACTCGCACGCACAATCTACGTGTGCCTCCCTTGTTTCTCATCCCCCCCCACCCGTGGTTTGCTCCTAGGGTATGGATACAGAACAACCATGGGCATGTTCCTCGTTTCCATACATACGCCGGCGGGTCTATCGTCGTAGGATCATCTTGCCTCTTGCTTCGCCTCGTGGGCCTCTTTCATCATGCGTGGTTGGTTTGTTTGTTTGTTTGTTTGTTTGTTTGCCAGGAACATTGTCTCGAACGAGTATCTAAAGTTTTTGGGCAAGAACCCCAAGACTGGCGACGAAAAGTTCAAGAAGAACGAGGAGTTTGTGAAAAGCAAGGGCCGTGAGGATTTCCGGTCGTACGGACGGAACGCAGGCGCAAAAAAATAAGAAATACTACTCATGCCCACGTGGTTTTCTTATGTCCCAAAGTGATGCTGGTTCCGGCTCGCTCACCGAAGGGCCGACTGCGGTCGGGTCGGGAAACACTTGCCATCGAGACAGTCGGTGCGGCTGCCGTGGCAGTGTCGAGCCGCGGTTCACCGGACAATCGGAGAGTGTTAGCATGATCACTTGAACCTGCTGCTGCCGTGGTTTAGATACGGTGAGAGGAGAGGGTGTTTGCTTTGTTCCTGGGGGTTGGACCTTCGAGCGTGGTGCGCGTGCTCCCCTTGACTTGTGTCTTGTCTGGGTGATCGGGTGATGGTGATCATTGTCTCGCCGGAAGAAATGTGGACAGAACGATGTGTTGCCTTCGTCACATGCTGTCGTCTGCGGTGGGTTGTGGTTGCTGGGCAGTGCCCTTTGCAGGGGTGGAAAGGATTCAATTTTTCGTTTCATGGTCACTCTTTTGTCAGAGACCAAACAAGAAGTTAAGCAGGAGGACGGTGCCGAGAAGAGCCAGTCCCACCCGATGCAGCGAAAGCAGCCCTTTGAAAGACTTGCTGGAATGCAGACCGGACACCCGGGGTACGAAGAATCGATGAAGCGGCATGAATCGTTATCTGAGCTGTCCTGCTTACCACGGGCTGTTGAAATGGCCCGAGCAATTGTGAGCGCTCATGAGGTTTCCTTTTCAGGGGGGCGTTGCGAGGCGAACCCCGTGTTGCGTCCCGGACGGACTGCTAGGTGCGTGCGTGGAGGCGTGTTTCTGTCGTAACGGACGTCACAACCTACTGGTGGTGACGAGACCACGCGTTTTCCGCTTCAACATACAAGCTGCCGAATTTTGCCTCGGACGGTAGAAGTACCACTGAAATAGGGTCGACAGAACTGCTTGCAGATTCTGTTTGATGGATGTCGCTTGATAATTAGCACCACAAAAGGAGACCGAGGGCGGATGCGTGCCCGCTACAGTGGACAAAGAAGCCTGCTGCGTTTCCGTTTTTGGCCGAGCGGCTGTATTCCTTTCGAGAAAGGGGTTCGTGTGTCGGTCGATGTCAACATGAAAGTCACGATCCATAACCACGCTGAACTCGACAGCCCGACTCGTGTGACCTTGTGACCGCCTCGTGTGCGTTTCACCACGTGAAAAGAAGCAGCGTGTCAATGGCTCAGCGTATCAAGGGCAGACACGCACAGTCTCCACACGAAACGATGTTCCAGGTATGTATATGAACAGTACCGAGCCCGCCGGGGCGTGTGGGTTATCCTCGCGTCACAAACCCCCGTTCTATTGCAGGGTGGCGAGGGTCGTTCGAAAAGGCTAAGGCAGAGCTAGACTATTGTACATCTTCCGTGAAGAACATTGGTTTTGAATCCGTGCTTCTGCCGTCGCACACCATTGCTTTCTAGTGCTAGTGGATAACCTGGCCAGGTACTTGGTTACTCGTTGGTCCCTCGGCACACATAGAAAAAGTACAGGGCTGTACAAGAGGGTTGCTCGCTAACGACCAATGGCCACACCATCGTCAGTCAGTTCGTGTGTAAGGCATGAATCCGGTAGGTGCTTTTCGGCGCTGGCGATGTTCGATTTCAGCTGCATGATGAAACCGTAGATAGCAGATGAGTTGACAACGTCACAACGCATAGTAGTCAATCAGGTGTCGAGGCACGAGAACGGCAGTGAGACCTTCGCAAACTTTTACTTCTACCAATCAAGGCACACGCACAAATCTTGAACAAAACCAAGGACGGGGAGGCGGCAGTTTAGCATTTGGTTTCCTGGCACAAAAACTCGAGCCAACACGTGGTTGAAGAAATAGAGCTGTTCCACCCGCTCATGTGTTTCGGGCACTCGACTCGGTACAGGAGTCCACTACAGATGGCAAGGAACTAATCTAACCGTCGTTCTCGAAGACGCTCTCTCTCTCTCGCATCCCCGACACCAGCGCGCATGACTCCCTCCTCATCTCTCTTGCTGTGGGTCGTCCTGGCTCAGCGGGGTTTGTAACAGTCGATTGCCTCCAGTGTAATTACTCTCCGAACTGGAATACCCCCCAACCAAACAGTCAGTCCATTCGGTCCGCCTTCGTACTTCCGAGCCCTGCCGTCACGCGGAGTCCAAGCAGCGGCTTGCTCATGCGTCCTCGCAGCTATGTACTTACTGACGTGTTACAAGCATATAGCTCTGTTCCCCAGCTCCCAGTTGGTACACTGGACCTCTCCCACCCGCACCGTGGAGGAAACCGCTGTCATCTGATCGGCCTCATGTGCTGCGCAAAAGCCTGCAAAGCAAGAGGCGGGCGGGGCGGGCAGGTGGACGGGACGGACAGACGCCACTCCTTTGAACATGTCTTACAACTTGTCGCGTGCGGCGTGTGGAGTGGTGCGTGGGAGGGTACACTCCGAGGCATGTATGTCCTTGGCACACTCTAGTTCCGACGCCGGAACGATGCACGCTACAGTAGGTGTTCGCCAAATAGGGTTCTGGAGAGGGCCGGGCTGGGCTGGGCTGGGCTCCGACTGGCCCAAGAGATAGACAAACCAACACCAAAATGGGTGCCAAGGGCCACCGGGGTACCTGCCGTTGTCTAACACCTGCACGGCAACTACGGGGGCGCGTATGCGTCCCGGTGTAACAAAGTCATGAAAGCAAAAAAATCAAAACAGGTGCCTCAGCGGGGAAAGCGTGTTTCGGTTCTATCTCCTCACCTTAAGAGCGGTCGCAATGGCGGGTCCATCTGCAGCCCCTTCCACGGCTAGCTGCAACTGCTCGGCCACCTGCCGTGCCGTGTTCGTTGCGACACACAACAGAAAAGCAGCGAGGAGACACCGCTGAGACTCGACGCGAAGAACCACGACATTAGAGCGTGCGGGCATAAACACGTCTGGCAGACCGGAGGACAACAACCCCCCGCGGTAAAAGAACGGCATGGGACACACACGCAAAAGAAAATGCATATAGAAATCCCGTACGAAGAAACCACGACAGGCATGTTTCTCCTGCATACCCGTGCAGAGGCTCCACGAAACAAACCCCTTCCTGCTGCGTACCCCATACCTGCGGGGTACAGCCACACGCCAGCGCGGCGACGCCGACAAATCTCGCCGAGCCGCCGCTAGCCTCCCTGGCCTCCTTAAGCAAGGCCCCCATGTTCACGATGGCGCTCATGGCGGCCGCGTCCCTCAGGTCGAGCCCCGTCGGCGGCGCGCCGTCCACCAGACACTTGAGGGCGGCGGGGACGGCCCGCTCGCAGACGAACGCCGTCACGGCAGACTGAACTCCCGGCTCCATGTCCACCGTCGGACCCGACCCCGTCCACAGCCCCCCGCCCTTCCCCGACAGCGCTCGCCGTTGCGTGGCGGCTGCCCGCAGGCTCTTCTTCGCCCCACCGCCTCCCGCAGCACCACCGGCCGGGCCGTTGGCGGAAGCACCACCCTTCCCGGCGCCGACGTCTCCCCCGCTTCGACCGCGGTTGAAGCCGCCCAAGAGGAGGGAGAATATGTAGAGGCAGGTCTTCTTTGTCGAGGCGTCCTCGGCGCCCGAGAGCCCGTCGACCACCGACCGAAGCACCCCGTCCAGGTGGGGCGCGTTTGTCGGGGAAGAGAGCACGCCGGCGAGACCGTTCGACGAGACGTGCTGGATCACGCTGAAGCACAGCTTCTGGAACCCCGCTCGCTCGGCCACCTCGTGCGCGAGCAGCTGCTGCGCTTCCGCCCCCACTGCCCCGGCCCCGCCGCTGGTAGCAGCAGCCCCGTCTGCCGCCGCTGCTGCGGCGGCTGGCAACTTTGCCGTCGTCCCGTTCGGCCACCCGCCTCCCCCCGAGTCTGACCCCTCCCCGCTGGCTTGCTGTTGAGCGCCGCCGTCGTTTGCGGCAGCGGCGGCGGCCGCCGCGGTGGTGGAACCAGCGCCCGGGGTGAGCTGGTACGTTCGGCGAATGAACGGCATGAGGGCGCCGTCAAGGAGCTGGGCTGACTTCGGGCCGTACTCGATGGTGAGCTGGTTCAGGACCTGGGCAACCTGAGGTGGCCCCAGCAAGCGGGAGCGTGCACAAGTTGCAGCAGTAGTGGGAGTGGGGCAAAAGACAGGGAGGGGCGGGGGCGACAATGACGGGGGCGAGGTGCGTGTCGCGAAGACGGATCTGCCAATCACCGGCGCGGGACTTCGAACAACGCCGTCGTTTTCTTTACTTTTGCTGCTGCTGACCGAAAACGTTCGGTGGCGGTGCATCGGCCGCCAGGCACAGCGCGTGCCGCCGACCCTTGCCAACAGCAGGCACCAGGGAGCAACTTTGCCCACCAACAGCGACAGCAGGAGGAGAAAAACAAAAAGAAGTCAAACCATACACAACGCAAACGCTTCCTCTTTCGGGTAAGGAGTCACAGTTCACGTACATACGTACGTACCTCCATCAGATCCTTGCCGTCGCCCTCCTGCACCAGCACGAGCAACGCCGACAGCGGCAAGGCGCGCAGCAGGCCTTCGCCCAGACAGGGGATGAGCCCGTGCACGAGGAACATCGTCTTGGCCCGGAGAGCCACGTGTCGAGGAAAAGACATCAGGGCCGACGTCGCCGCCTCCAACGCCTGAAAAAAGAAAAAGAAAAAAAAAGGTGTTGAGCGCGTGGGAGTGAGAGCGCATGTATGCGTGCGTCTAACTGTGTGTACCAACAGCAACAAGATTTTCCTTGCTGCTTAGAGGCGTTTTGACGCTTTGAAGTGCTACTACCTGCGGGGATCAACTGTCGTTCCGCCTTGAATTCCGAAGGCGGAAAGGCGATGTAACACCGGCGAACGCTGCACGCCGACTGATCCTCAACCGTTTCTTGTTGAGTTTCAATATCGAGGCATCAAGTGCTGAGACAGCACGCACGCACGCACATGCTTCTTGCTCCTTCCAACTAAGGGGTTGGCCCTAGCGCGGGGAGGGGGGGGTGCAATCTTTTCGAGTTGATGCCAATCAAAGAAAATGCTTGTGCTTGTGGGCTTGTGGGGTTGCAACACGTACATCACAAGCAAGCTTCTGGTCGCGTAGCGTCACGACAATGCGTGCTCACCAGAGCGGCAAAGCCAGACAGACGCCCACACCGCAGCGCAACGTTGTACGCAAACGGTTACAGGCGACTAGGCAGCCGTGGTCTTATCCACGACAATGTCACGTCGCGTCCGTCTCTCCCAACATAGCGATACATGGTCTACCATACCGGCTCCGACCTACAGAGTAGTTGTTGAATACACGGCTGACTAGCTGGAACAACCGACCAGCACCACGACCAACCCCCCCCCCCCTTTTTTGCGGCAACCATGAACTGTGGTCGAGGGGCTTGTGTTGTGCGGAGTCGAGACCCTCACTCCGCGCAAGGGNTGGTGATATGAGAGCCTGGTCCGGTGAGAACCCGGCGTGCTCCGTCCCGGCTTTGTAGGGATGCGAGGTCAATGGTCTAGTGACTACGGCATGCACGACTATTGAGCACCCCCCCCCTCCCCCCCTTGGGATTCCAAGGGACATGACGAGAATAGAGTTCAAGAACTGTTGTGACAGGGAGGGACTGCACTG